GACTATTCTCTATGGAAACAACAATGCAATTAAGAAAATCACACCGGGACTGTTTTCCAACCTGGATAATCTTATTAAATTGCGCCTGGATGGCAACTTTCTAGAAGTTCTGCAGGACTCTGTTTTTAAGAGTTTGATCAATCTACATTATCTTCATCTGGAATCCAACAAAGTGCAGCACATTCACAGAAACGCTTTCTCTAAACTGACCAGCCTACGCTTTTTAAACCTGGCCGACAACAAGCAATCAGCCGTGCGCAATGTCCTCACTTTCTCTCATCTCAAAGCTTTGACGACGTTGCTGCTGTCTGAGAATGAAATTCGTCATATTGGCAACCATGTCTTCCAAAACCTGAAAAAACTGTCCAAGCTTTCCCTCAGCAACAACAAAATCTCCCAAATGGACAGTGGTGCTTTGAGGGGCCTGTCGAGCCTCACCGAGCTTCTGATTGACGGCAACGAACTGGTGGAAATTCCTGCCGTCCTCCTCGACCCCCTGGAGCGTGTCGAGGAGCTGGACTTCAGCCGCAACCGGATATCCAGCGTGGACTCTCTGGCTTTTTCGAGACTTAAACACCTAAGAGTGTTGAAGCTGAAGGACAACTTTCTCACCAGTCTGTCTGGGGACATGTTTACCCTCAACAGCGCACTTTACGACTTGGATCTCCAAGGCAACAACTGGACATGTGACTGTCGCCTGGAGCAACTGAGAGAATGGATTGCTGCTGCACACTCTCAGGGCAAACTGCTGACTGTGTTTGTGCAGTGTCATTACCCAACAACTCTGAGGGGAAAATATCTGGACTATGTGAACAGCTCCCAGCTGCAGCCCCTTGGGAACTGGACTCACTTGTGTACGAGTCAAGCTAGGCTTGAGGAGAGCAGGGCAGGGGCAGTACTAGTGAAGCTGGGGAGCACTGAGAGAGGAGAAAGAGATTCTCGGTTGCCAGAGGGCGGAGAGAGGACAGATGAAGAAGTTCAGAAAGGTGTGAGAAAGAGAGGGGAAGTGGAAGAAACAGGACGTTTACGACCGGTGAACAGGGGTGGAGTCATGGTATGGAAAAATGGAGAGCAGAGGAAAAAAGAGGGACAGGAAGAGGTGGGGATCCAAGGAGACCAAGGAGGTCCAGAGGTGGCAGAACCTTCTTCTTTCCTGGACAGAAGGAAACCAAAGAAGAAGCTACGGCCTGCTGCAGAGGCAGCTGGGAAACGCGTTAAGGGGAGAACGAGGTCAAAAGTTATTTTCAAACCCAGTCCATCAGCCACAATGAGCCAAGCAAGCATCGGGCTAACCACCACTGTGTCTGTTCACTCAGGAGAGCAGTTAGATCTTCTTAGGTCGGATCGGGATGACACCCTACCTGTCATTACAGACCCTTGTATTTTCAACCGCCATTTCATCACTAATGTGTCCGTGGATCACGTCACATCTAATACCGTCACTGTGTACTGGACCACCAGGGATCATCACCGCTACACACCAGGGCCCGGGCCAGGTCTTGATGAAGTCCACTACCGGGTTCTGTTTGACAGGTTTGGCACCCAGGATCGTTTCCCCCGCTACGTTTACGCCCACGGCACGGCTCGCTCCGTGACCCTCCGAGAGCTCAGCTCAGATGTGACCTACATGGTCTGCGTGGAGGGAGTGGTCGGAAGTTCCGTGTGTCAGGTCGCACCACGCGACCACTGCACGGGGCTGGTCACCCTATCTGAGGCAAATGGCCGTGGAGCTACGCTGACCTCTGACCTCCAGCTGGTGACGGTGGCGATGCTCGCCGGGAATGCCGTGCTGCTGCTGGTCATCGGCGGCGTGTGGCTGGGGAGAAGTCTGAGGAGAAAGTTGCAGAGGAGGAAGTCAGCCGTGCACGTGCGCCACATGTACTCCACCAGGCGACCGTTTCGCACCGCAATGGCCACGGCGTCCATCTCCACCGACTTCACCAGCTACCAAAGCAGCCGGCCAGCACGGCTCGCACCGCTAGAGGAAGGGGATCTCATCGAGTTCCCTTGCGACCGCTTTCTGGACAGCAGCAGTGTTCGCAGAGACAGTGAAATGCAGAGATTCTCTGACTAGAACCATTAAAACTCCAAATTAGCTTGAAAAAAATGTTGACACTGAAAAAAATGGGAATTGCTTCATGTTTCCATCGGTGATTTAGCCTCTCAGCTGAGCTCATGAGACACCAGAGGAAGTCCATTCCCTCTGACTTCCCCTTTCCCAGTTTGGACCCTTCCTCTTTAATTTTCTTGCTTCTGTGAGTCTACATGCGTTGTTTTTCTTTTTGTTTTTGTTTTTTTGTGTGTACATGAATGATGTACCACTGATTTCAACTACGGTGCTAATATTCAGTTTGCAGACATCATATTGTCTCATATTTGTACAGTGTGTAACGATGGCTGCTGGGTGGCAGAAAAATCTCCTGTTTTGTACCACATCTACCGTGTTTTATACTTTTATAAGGAACTTTGTATCATTTTGCATTACATGACAAAGTAAAAATCCCCAACAATGTGACTGATTTGTCATTTGAGTGCGTGTGTTATTGTATCTGCGGGTACTAAAACCCAGACTGTATATAAGACTGAGGACGAGAGCAGCAACAGAACATTAAAGAAGTGAGTGAGTGAGCTGCGTGCGTGTCAAGATGAGGTCTGGCAATAGTTAGGCAGTCCCTTTGTTTGAGTCTACAGGGTGGAGTGCCTCCTACATTCAGTTCAAATCATACACACACACACACACACACACATATTGACAATTGTCTGCAAACAAACTTTTCATAGCATCAGACAGTCAGTCAGCTGACCTTAAAGGGACAGTTCACGCCAAAATCAAAACTGCATATTTTTCGACTTGCCTGTCTGTCATATTTTTGGTTGTTTGTTTATTTGTGTTTTAGTCCAAGTAGGTTCCTTCCATTGACTATAATGGAAGCGAATATGGCGGGCATATGTTTAGACACAAGATTTGGGAAAATCAGTACAGATATTACAATAATAACGCATAACTTCTTGAAAGCAGCTGACTCACAGTGTTGCAGACATCCAGAGTCTCAAACATGTCCATGAATGACTCATCAGGCAAGTTGTAATAATACATTTTTTTTTAAGATACTGAAACTAGTATTCTTTTCTTTATATTATTATCTTATTTCAGTTAGTTTCCAAGTTCACAAAATCATTTCACTTAGCTTTAATTTCTTTCAAAATGCAAGTTTCTATTTTTATTTTAGTCAACTCAAGGTTTTTTTTAAAATAATATTTATTTTTTAGTTTAGTTTCAGTTAACTATAATAACCTTGGAGCTAGCGTATTAGTGTGGACTTCGCGCCTCTAGTCATGGATAGATGCATGCATAACGACCCCACAGCGAAGCTTGTGGATATATTTGAGTAACTAGGTCATAAATCCTCAAAAGAGTTTAGTAAAATAAATTTTGGGGGCACTTTAAGCATCACAAGAAAAGTATCGCTTACTTTTACTATTTTTAAGAGAAGCCAGTCATGTCTGTGGCTGATATTTTCAAAAACTGGTTAACAATAGGTAACATTTTGGGAAAGCTATCCTTTAAAGTCTGGGACACTTTTGTTAGTAGTTGCCCAGTTATCCAGGATCTCAGCAGACTTTGAGGTGGTACACCCTGCACAGGTAGCCAGGCCATCACAGGGCTGACCTTCACATCTCCACAGGAACATGCAGAAAGTTCATCTTAAGTCTTTCTGTCTGCGTATGAGACGAGACAGAAACAATCCTGGTTACACTTTGATGACTACTCTTATTTTTGCTCTCACTAATAAAAACAGTCACTAGATGGCAGGATAGACCGCACCGCAAGTACAGAACCACAGTCTCACTGCTCACAGCCACCAGCTGACCAAAATTAAATGCAAACAAATAGGAATCTGACAGATCTGACGTTGTAAAAACACATTTCAATGATTCACAAAAAGATACCAGAATAATATTTTTTTAATTTTTGCATTAGGTTTACAGCGATTGTCAGCGTCTTTACAGTACAAAAAGTGTAACTTCTTTGTAAATTAAATTAAACTAGCAGGGACTGAGACATGAAGTGTAGTTTATAATTATTCAGTGACTCAGGGCAGTCACAAAAAAAGTGCCTTAAAGAAAATACTGTTTTCAGTGGCTTTCCAACACAGTTGCAGGTTTAATTAACTAATATTTACAAATCAATGAAATGGGAAATTTTAGGATAAAAAATTTATCTTATAATTTGAATTACCTGTAGAAAAAACACCCAAAACAACAAAAACTTTGTTGTGTTATTTAAGGTAAGCTGCCTCTGCTCAAAAATGGAAAAAGGTGCACTTGGAGCTGCCCAATTAAAACAAACAAACAAAAAGTTATAGTCTCTTTTTCTGAATTAGTGCAAGATATGCCAGAGAATGATACTAAAAAGATGTGTCATGACTGTGTGTGTGCATAGCGAGTAGGTAGGAGGCAACGTTAGGCTCATGTCAAAAGAAAACAGACATTATCTGAATAAACACAGGATCCAGTTGCCATGTAAAAATCACAGTTTTAACAAGGCTTTCAGAAAGGGCATTTTATGCACCTGTTTAGAGAAATGAAGCGACAGATCTCTCTCTCAGTAAGTGTTTCTGATCTTCTCACAGAAAATCTGCTGATCGTGTTGAAAAATACCTCAAGCGTTCACGTGGATTTATAAATTCATCCTATCCAGTTTGGGATTTCACCTATACGTTGCAGGCTAGTGTCCGGGCTGGAGGTCGTGGCCCGAATCGCCTCCAGACGTCGAGGAAGTGGAGATGCTGTTATGTTGGATGGCTTGCAGATCAAACCCAGGACCTGCAGGGGTGGGACTTCTTCCTGGGCTCACCCCTGCAGCTGGACATAGAGACAGCTGTCAAAGTCACTTATAAAGTGCTGACTCTCTGCTTTTTGGTGTTGGAGATTGTAGGCATCAAATAAAAAGCCACGGCATTTGAGATTAAATGAAAATAGCTCCTTTATTTTAACAATTGAATACTGTACATACATGTATAAAGAACAGTAGAAATATATGAATATGAAATGTGCCAATATTGCATCTCTCTTTGTTCTATGAAACTCTTGACACATACGTCTTTGTCTGCTTAGGCCACAGCGTTTCACTTTTTAAATATCTTTCGTTACAGGTCAGTTTCAGTCACTGTTTGACATAAACTTGAAGCCGCCTGTGGAGTGCAAGAAAGGCAACTTGTTCCCTGCTAGCTTCATGCAAGGCAAAAACAATGCTAGTAGCATGGTACTACAAGTTATCTCAAATACCATTGCGGTGTGGTTCATTAAAACAGAATGACAAACTTGATATTCCTTTAAATTAAATCAAGAGTGCAGTGCTTTTTTCACCCTGATCTCTTCAAAAGTGCATTGCTAATTTTTTTGGACACAGCGGGGTTTAAAGCAAGACTTACTTTACTCTTTTGTGCTGTTTGTTTAGCACTTTAAGACACAGTTTAAAGTAGACCTATTATGCTCATTTTGCATGATAATTCCTGTTTGTCCCTTTGTCTCCCTCCCCTTTTTAGTCAGCTTTCTGAAACAACTGCTGTGCCCAGAACAGAAGATTTGAAAAGCAGGTTGGGTGGGGCTTCTGTGCTCACAGCCATGGCTGCATACCTGACATAACCACATAAGGATATCCCCTCTTTTGACATCATACAGATGTCTATGAGGAAAAAACAAATTCTTTGCTCACATGTACATACATAAAAAAAACTGGTACCAGTTTTAATAACAGTGCGTATATATGACAGAAAATAGGAGAAAGCATAATAGGTCCACTTTAAGGTCCTCGGTGTGTAGAGCAGTGGTTCTCAAAGTGGGAGCACCAGGTGTCTGCATCCAAAAGTCAAAGGGCAAATAATTTGCAAAAAAATAATTTTATAATAAAAAGTGCATATTTACAGATGGGGACATTTACTCCTGCCTGTGTTATCTTTGGGCTGACAGAAGCTCGCCATCAGATGTGATTGTGACACATCACGTCAGTCTATCATCAGCTATCACACACTTTTCTCAGGGTGTAATTAACCATTCCAGCTGTTCGGCTTCTTGTCTTTTTAACATGCGGGCTAGCAAGTAGCTTTAATTATTATCTATATTAAGTCAGCAGGTATAGCTGCATTTAAATCAGAAAATATGAGGGGTTTCTTAGGACATTTTCTCCCCTCTTAGGGGTTCTTGGCCTCGAGAAGTTTAAGAACCCCCTGTGTAATAGCGAGTGCATGTGTAATTGTGGGTACACAAGGTTTAATGTGTGAATTACACCCTCAGCGGTGGATGGAGATGACTGGTGTCAGGCATCTGGAAAAGCTGGTGAGATTTCTACACAGGGTTGCAGGGAAGGGGGGTTTTACTCACTGGGGTACCCCTGTGCCTCCCTCTGCCGAGCAGTGACAGGACAGTCCTTGTGGGTGAGCAGAATCTGCTTCAGCTGACCCACCTCCGACTTCAGTGACGTCACCTCGTTCTGGAAGCAAACACAGTGAAATGGTAAGCACTCTCGAAGTGTAGGCTGTGTTAATGTGAGTGTGTCTTGTGCGCAGAGCGCATCCCACCTGTAGCTGTAGGTTCGTGTGCGTCAGCTCTTCAGCTTTCTTCTCCAGCGATGACACCCACAGCTTCCTCTTCTGTCGGCAGCGGGTGGCTGCGGCCCGGTTACGTTCCAGAAACTTCTGCCTTCGCTCGTCGGGGTCCTGCTCTACTGTCCTCCTTCGACGGTTTCCGCCTCCTCCACCACCTCCGCTGCAGCTACCGACTGCCTGCACTGCATGAGTGTGAGATGGCTGGGAAGGCTGCATCTGCTGTGCAACTGGTGATAACTGCAGAACAAAAACAACAACTTTTTCAAGTAACTGTGCTTGAATGCACAAAAAACCCAGCCATCGTTAAATATAAAGCATTATACCTGCGCAGGAGCAGACAGTGGAGGTGCAGGCGGTGAGCCTGGGTGTAAGTGTGAAGGCGGTGATTGGTGAGCCTGAGCGTGAGGTGGTAAATTCCCTGCCTGGTGCAGCTGGTGGCTCTGGGTGCTTCCAAGATGCTGTGGGTGGGGAGCATGGCACCGCTGTTGGTAGGTAAGAGGCACAGGCGGAAGCTGTGAGTGATGAGGCTGAGGATGATGATGATGGTGGTGGTGGTGCTGTTGTGGTTGTTGTTGTTGTAGTGGAGGTGTCTGGTGACGCTGTGGCATCATCTCTATCATGTGGCCCATGGGTGGCACATTGTTATTGATGGTGATCATTCCTGGGTGGTGCTGTTGATAATGGTGGCCCAATGTCTGCTTGGATCTCTGAGCAGAAATAGATAACAAACAAAAAAGAACAAGTTAATTAATCATGTGATGCTATTAAAAAGTTAAATTATTATCACTTCTATGTGCAATGATTTAGAAATCTGAAGAGATCTAACCACTATCCACTCTGATATCAGCCTGTAGAACTGTGTTCAGAGGATAATAAGTATATACTAGCAACTAGATTAAGAAAATACAAACAATTAACATGAATTCAACTGAGGAAGACTTTCCTTTTCTTTTACATGTTGGATTATAAAGATATTTATTTACCCCTTACATGGTCAATATGTTACAGAATGCTCAGAAGCCCTATAACCACACGGAAAGGCCGTAAAACTGCAGTTCCTCAAATGACCACATGAGGCTGGCTTGCACAGTGAGACAATCCCAACAGACAACTGTTCAATTCAGTTCAACTGTATTTATATAGCACCAAATCCAAACAACAGTTGCCTCAAGGTGCTTTACACTGTAAGTTAAAAACCCTAGAATAATTCAAAGAAAACAGAGAAAACCCCAACAATCAGATGACCTATGAGCAAGCACTTCGGTGACAGTGCGAATGAAAAACTCCCTTTTATCAGGAAGAAACCTCCAGCAGAAACAGACTCGGGGAGGAGCGGCCATCTACCGTGACCAGTTGGGGGCAAGGGGAGGAAGACAGGACAAAACCACACTTTGGAGGAGAACCAGAGATGAATAATAGCTCACGATTCAATGCAGAGTGTGTGAAAACACATAGGAACGGTGAAGAAGAAACACTTGGGAAGTCCCCAGCAGCCTAGAGCTATTGGAGTGAAACTAAAGGAGGATTCAGCGTGACCTGATCCATCCTTGACTATATGCTTTGTCAAAAAGGAAAGATGACTATGTTAAAACACCCAACAGCATTAAAAAGCAAGATTAAACTCTTCTGGAAGAATGGTTTTGGTCTCTGTGAATACTCCCCTAATAGAAATTGTATTGCAGTTTTATTTCTTTGTCATTCTTCTAATTACACATTTAAAGTTTGACAGTGGCCAGTTTTGGCCAGTCATTGAACTGGACCTCTGGACTGAGCATTTTTAATGGAATTATCAATTGTTGTGTGGCTTATGGCAAAAACGAGCAATTCAACAAGTGACTGTTTCCACTTTGTTGCGTGAGGGTTTCTTTTAGTATTTTATTAGTACTAGTGCATGGAAAAAAATAATAATGCTTCTGTGAAATTAAAATGATACGATGCTTTTATCAGGTGTTATCAGTGCATAAACACTACAAGTTGATAATTTTAGCCCTTTGGATGTGTAGCTGCTAGGCAATATGATGACATCATAATATCTGAGGTAGATAAGAACCACAGGCAGTATAAAAGATGGACGTAGCTGCCCTAATGTCACACACTGCTTTGAGGTCCCGCTTTGAAGCCTCAAGCGGGCGACGGTGTTTTGCTTGTGAAGAATGGACGTGAAAGAGAGGGGCGGGTCTGACTATTGGCTACTGACTTGTGATTGTCAGCTCAATAGCCAATGTGGTCTTTTGAACCATAGTATGATCAAGATTTATGAAGCCGACCTCATTTTTTAAATTATCTGTATGGCGCATATACTGAGTCTATAAACTCAAATGGAAAATGTTTACAAAGGTCAAGTGAGACAGCTGTTTTTCTTTCCACTACTGGCCTGAAATTCCTACATTTCATTTTATATATCATAGCAAGAAAATTACTATTTAGCGGCCATCTGTGGCTGTGCAGTTCACCCATACAGTGTATGGATAAAGCCTTCTAAGAACTCAACTTTCTTTCCCCAAATATGGTAACTTTAGACTCCAAACTAAAAAAAAAATGTGGCTACAGTCAAAAGACTTGAGTAATAGTGTTCAGTCTATGGTTTATCCTTAACACCTGCTAAATTAGTAACAGCAGGTAATCTTTGAAGCAACGGGCCACTTCAAGCCGCGTCCCGAGGTACTGCACCTCGATGCAAACAATATCTGCGGGTCAAACCCTCCTTCTTTTCCATCCGCGCCACTTCTCCTCAGCGTCCGCAACTGCGAAGACAACTGTTGATGAGAGGGATAACGTGTTCCAATAAATGCTGCCGTCTGCAGCTTGATACCTTCACACTTTATCATTCCCGTGTATCATCTGACTAAACAGACTGTACGAGCTAAATTAAACCTCATCTCACCTTTCTCCAACACTCAGCAGAGAAAAGCAAGAGAGGGAGAGGTCATGTTTGGAGCATGACATCACCCCCCCCCCCATTCCAGTCCCTCCCTGGCAATACTGTTATCTGCTCCCTGTTACACAATATTTCTTTAAGAGAAGAAGCAGATTTTTCTCTCTCTCGCTCTCTCTCTCTCTCTTCACCATTCAGTGAAGTAAAAAGAGAGCACATTTAACTGGTGCCAAGGATGAGGTCATTGAGCTGTCTGTGCCAGCTTTACCAGCCAGCCAGGCTGCCAGTCATACACACACGCACAGCCACACACACACACTAAATAGAGCGGGACACGAGTCCTTCAGTTGTGTTTACTAGATAGAAACACCCTGACACTGAGGCCGGCGATTACATCATGGGTCTCCTTGGCTTGGATGACACACCACGTTGATATTTCTGTCTGAAGGGATCGGTGAATGAAGACACAAAACTGTACACGAAACACTGATCCACTTGTCAAATGTTTACTTTTCCACTTGAGCTGAGTGTAGCGTTACTGTACAACAGAGGCATGTTAACACACTTTCTGATGTTTTAAAGAACCGGAGGCCTGTTTCGAAAAAGAAAAACCTTTCCGAGGACCAATATAATTCCTTAGATTTATACTACAAGACACATTCACCTGTTCACACACACACATTCATGCAGCACATTATTCTGTGTACTTTAGGAACGTTACCTATAACACATACACTCACACACCAGTAGATGCACCGGGGGGATAAGTATCCCGGACTGAACCACTGACAAACCAATTTGTAGATGACTCACTCCACCTCTTTGCGTCCACTGCGGACATTTGTGGAACAAATGTGTTGCACCTTGGTGAGTGTTACAAACCAGACAAAAAGTCAAAGTGTTGTTTGAGGGTTAAGATTCTGCATCAGGATTAAGGTTTAAAGTAAGGAGTTGCTTCAGTAATAAAAGCTAAGGTAAGGTAAGAATGTGTTGGGTCAGCGGTTACACTTTTATGTGTGTGTGTGTGTGTGTGTGTGAGAGAGTGTGTAAGAAAAGAGGGTCAGAAGTGAACTTGCCACCTGAGTGGCTCCGCAATCTGAAACCACTTTTCAGTTGCCACTCTGTATGCGAGCTCCTCCACAAGAAGCCACAACCTGCGTCCATGCCTGTGTGTGTGTTTGTGTGTGTGGGGCTATTTCACAGTTTTCCCTTTTGAAGTTGCTTTTGATAGCAAAATATCTTTAACTATTAATTCCAGATGCAGGCGAAAAGATCGCACGCTTGTTGACGCAAGAGAAATAAAACAACTGAGAAAGCCACAGGGGAGCATGTAGATTGTGACTTCCTGTGGTCCAATGTGTGTGTGTGTGTGTGTGTGTGTGTGTTTGGGGGTAGAGTTACATTCTATTTCCTGTCTGTCCTGATTAGAAAGGACTATGGCAAAGGCAGAAGGTGAGGCAGGGTGTCTTTTTTTTAAGTGTTACATAACACTATGAATTTGTCTTTATTGAAAAATCACCCACATTTTGAGCCACTTATAGAACAGATTAGAATAGAACGCGACTATTTGTCATTCTACAGGTGTACAACCAAATTTGGAGCAACTCTCTGAGTGGTGCATAGAGTTAAGACAAACATATATACAAATACATATATATAAATATAAAGATATCAAAATATGAGATCAGTATAAGTTATAATACACACACAAACACACTCCTACTTTACAGACTTTAGTAATATTGCACCGGATGTTCTGAGTGATGATGGTACACAGTGTTATGAACTGGAGCATGATGGTAAAGGGTATACATAATGGACATCTCTGTTATAACTGAGCTTACTATAAGCCTCAGTCACCCAATCAGTCATTCATATAGCACTTTAGTTTACACCTAAGTGCTTTGTCTAACAATAAAACACACCGAGTGCAGCAGGGTTCAGAATCCTGCCACAGAAGGATTCAAAGTGCAGACTGGGATTGAACCTCCAACCTTTTAATTGTTAGCTTACTTCACTCAACCTCACTCTGCCTCCTGAACCACAGACAACCAAAACGTTAGGATAAGATATAATATGCTGGGAGTTGATAAAACATGCAGAAATCCACTCTTCATAAACAGCTGTGGTGTAATGCATTATTAGTGTGATGCTAATATAATGTTATTAGCTCCAATAATGGAAATAGTGGGAAAAGTAGTCAGACTGACTGATGATCACCTACCTGGGGTGAAGAACAGGAGGGGTTGTGTACAGGAGCCGGTATACCCATTGCACAAGACATCTGCTTCTCCATCTGAAGAAGAAACAGTAGACACAAAAAGAATCTTTCAGCTGTGACAAAGGGAAGCAGCAGCTTGTATCCACATAAACCTCAAGTATGAAGAGTTCCCCCAAAGGTCACATCCATCTGGAGTTTTGACATTTTGATTAATTTATCCACAAAAGTGAATTTTCCTGTCATGGGTCCACTATACCTGCATCTATAAATCATCAGGCATGCGTGTTTGAATGTGTGGGAGTCGGAACATGACAAACACCATCCCATTCCATACTTACAGTCATGTGCTGAGCAGATGCCCCTTGCATGGCGGGGTCTGGCAGGGTGCCAGGTAAGGAGGCTGGTAGCGGCTGCCTGTGTCTGTTCCGCATGTGAAGGAGGCACGACAGCGGCCCGGGAACCAGCCTGTTGTGAGAGCGATAGAGACGGGTCATGCTAGAGAGCCGTCCACAGCCAAAGTTTCATAAAACAAGGTTCAGAGAGAGGTGCAAGTTGAAACATTTATAGCTGGGTCTTAATGGCAGATGGAGGTGAGATGTGAGAATGATCATATCGTCTTATTTTTAGGGGAAGCTGTATCCAAATCTACAAACAAAAAATGCATATAAAGCCAGTAGAATGGCTCTGTTCTGGGACCTCCCTGCACTTTAATGTGTAGGACCTTCGCACAAAACAGAGCTGGTATCAGTGGCAACAGATATGCCACTGAGCTAGGGAAGAGGTGGGTTGCAAAGTGGCTTGCAGATGTGCTACAGCAGCTAAAATAGCCCTCCCAATGTTTACAAGGGTATCAGCTGAGCCATCAGCTGATGGTGTAGGCTAGCACTGAGATCAGCTGATCTGCTACCACTGCAGGTGAGGGTAACTTGGCTGAACTAACATCATGTTTGATTTCTACTACTTACTTCAAGTATTTTTTCAAAAGGAAAAGATAAGTGATTTTAGCTGGCTGGCTTACCTTCGTCTGAGCAACAAGTTGGCACAGTTTCCTAAAGTAAAGCAGGAGTATATCTTTCTAGAAGCAGCATTTCAGTCATCCTGTTTATTTCATACATTTAACAGATTTTACTGGAACTACTTTCTACGGAGAAAATAGTCCCTTACGAAACTGTTGACAGGGTGCTCTGCTTATTGTCCAGAATATTAAGTTTTCTAGGCAAAGATGTTGCTGTTGAACTTTTTTGACATGGGGAGTAGCACAACCTAAATTCCACTGAGCCTCATTGTTTTGGGATGGTGGAGAAGTCTCAGAGGCCGATGTGTCAAAACATTGGCAAGTTGGCAAATCAAAGCCGCCAACCACTAGAAACAAATGTTACCGAGGAGTCTCTGAGAGCCCTTAAACACTCCAATGTGATCAAAAAGGATTGATGTGTTATTGTATGCCAGGAGAGAGCTGTAAACAGAGTTTTGAGGTGAAGCGCTGACAAGAGAAAGAGTGATGAAGTTAAAAAAAATGGAAAGAAAAGAAAGACGTGGAGAAAAAGGACAGCCCAAAAGGGAGGCGCAAAGCCTGCAGATCAGAGCGGGGGGGATCCAGAGACCCAGGGTGCCATGTGCTGACCTAACCCCTCTGGCTCTTTGCCAGTCGGACAGCGTGGGCCTGCATGGCCACGCTGAGGTCATCATCAATGATGTCATCACCGAATCTGGGGGTATGCGACCCTTTTAGAATACAACAAAGCGCAGACAAACCAAAACAGCATTTCCTAACATAACCACAACAGTTCTACCAGGCCAGCAGCCAGACACTCAGACCAGGTCACTATGGAAACCGGTGGTAAACACTTGGGGAAACAGCCAGACGCCCGATCCAGAGTTCACTTAGTAACTCTTAGCGGGTTTCACTGACTAACATGCTGTCTGGATTCAGCTGGCACTGATTAATGCTGCCATAAATGACTGTCAGCTCGCTCCCCACTGTCCTGTCACGTCCTGTCTGAGCCTGGACAGATGTTTGGAGCTAATTATGTCACTGACTCACTTGTGGCACCTTGATTCATCTAATCAACAACAGATTTGACAGCCTTTTGTTTGTCTACAGTATGCGTTGCAAGCAGAAACCATCGGTGGGCAAGATGATGGAGGCACTTTTATGTAAGATTGACATTTGGGCAGGAATCGCTATTTACTATATTTAGCATAACTAAACCCCAGAAAACACACAAAAAATCTTTTTTTAATCACAACGTGTCCAGTTTGATCTCAGAATATCACACATCTGCTCTCCTGTGAATGAATAAAGCCTTAAAATAGTCATAAATGCAAAAATGACATTGCTGTAATAACTAGGACTGGTAGAAAAAATGTTACACTAAAAAAAGAAAAACTAGTCAAAATCTTCTCAAGCAAATGTAAAATGGTTCCAACTTGTAGAAATATGTGCGTGTGCCTAGGCCCGTACAGGTGTATTTATAGGTGGGCTGTTTTCATTGTACATGTACAATGACAGTAAAGGGCTATTCTTGTCAGGTCGTTGCCAGCCTAGAGAGTAAGTGTGAGTAAACTTTATCTATGCAGCACTTAGAAAGAAAACAAAGAGCAGGAAAAGAAGCAATATAAGAAACAAAACTAAAAAAATCATTAAAAGATCATTGAAACCAACAGGGATTATAACCAAAAGCTATATATTAGTCTATACCAAAGTTTTACCAGATTTAACTGACCTGACAATAAGGAGAAGGCACTTCCACAGCTCAAGCATTAAAAGCACTGTCTGTTCCTAACTCTGAGCAAAGCTGGTGGAAAATTTAAGTTAAGTGTAGGGTTCCCTTTAAGGTCACAGAATAAACCTGTAGGATTACTGATGGCACAAGAATAAAGACAAACAGGCCCAAAAATGCTTATTATTATTAGCATCATTATTATTACAGGATTACGGGTAAGGTTAGGGTTAGGTTTTGGTCCTCCACATTCTAAACTGGCAAATGTTTAGAAACTAGAGGCCGATGCCTTTCAAATGAAGTCACATACAAAAATGTTCTCATTCCAGTTTTTCCTATTTTAAAGCACCACAGCTTAGAGGTTAAAGCAATTAAAGTTTACACTGTAAAACAAACAACAGCATTTTCTCTGTCTAGAAACATTCACAGAGTTAATCTGGATAATCCACCGGCCTAACTGTGAAATGCTTTAGTCCCAATAAAGCTGTAGGCTTCATGTTGTGCTTATTGCCCAGAATATGAGGTACACTGTTTCTGTTAGCGATTAAAGCTGACTGAAAAGGGTAGATTTCTTGTATTAGCTGAAAATTTTTTAAGAGGCAGACAAAAACATATGTGAATTTTTTTTAAATACAAAGTTACACATAAACAGTTTAATGTTCAGTTTTTTTAAGTTTCATTTTTAAGGTAACCTGATATAACCTGTTATTATAAACAAGTGAAGTTATTTATTTATGTTGCTGTGGCAGACATGAGTTCATTTTTCTTTATGAAATTAGAGATGAAAAATTACTTGTATTACCTAAAGTTGCAAGTAATATTAGTCAGTAAACAATTAAATAAGTACTTGAAACAGAATGCTGTAAATATACAGCATAATGAAGAGCAGAATACATAATGAACCCTGTATGTGTGTATTATGAGAACTTGTGAGGGCGGACTGTTTACTAGGTTTCACAAATTCATAGCCGGCCTTTTAGGAGGAGTGGGAGCAGCTGCAGGGAGCTGGTTAGATGAAAGACAGGAACTCCTCTAATCTGTCTGTAGAACTGGGTGATAACCAGGGAGCCAAGGAAGCTGCCCAGGCGCTGAGAGACTCCGGTCTCTCTGGTTCTGAGTCTTTGCAGACATGTAACAGAGACAGTAGTTGCACGGTGGGGTGGGTAGCGTCTAAGGGACTGAGTGGCTTTTTATGTGGTTCTTCATCACTTTTGGAGTTACTTAATTCTCTCACTAAACTGACGTATAATTTTTTTTTCCTGCTTCTTCCTCTCACTTCGTTAATGAAGTGATGAATTATGCAGCGGAAACGCCAGCTTGTGAGCGGCGGAATGATTTATAATGCATCCATAACAGGAGGAAAAAGAAAGAATGAGAAAAGGAAATGTGTTTGCGTGTGCGATGTAGGAAAAATATAACATACACATATATGTGTTTCGATGCCTGTAGGTAAATGTGTGTGTGCGCGTGTGTGTGAACTTACTCGGAGTGTGTTAGGGTGGAGGTAGCCTGGGTGATGACTGATCCAGACTGGGAGGAGGACAGGCCTTGCTGGGCGGCCAGGCTGCAGCTAGGGGCCATCATGGGGCCATGTGTCTGGGGATGATGCAGTGCATGAGTCTGGGGATGATGCAGCGGTGGTTGGGGATGTGGGTGCTGAGGCTGGGGTGGGTGCTGGAGCTGATGTTGGGGTTTGAGCTGGTGCTGGCTCATACAGGAGGGCCCATTATGAGAAAGCGACTGTGGAAAGAATAAAAAAAAAAGACAAACAGCTGAGACCATTGTAAACTTGTGGGGCAGTAAATGATTGAAGTCATTTACGATCAGAGATTACGGTGCCAGTCAAAGTCCTTTTAGACACTAACGCAGACACATGGCAGCCATCATGAGATGCGGCAGAGCAGTTTTTTTTTAAGCATAATCTATATTAACTTTAATTTCACTGTTCACAGGGAGATTATTATTGTTTATATACACTCACCTGTCAAATGTGTCAAATCACTTAAAAGGTTTCTGTCTATCAGTCCCCACCGTATCTTAAAGACCTCATAATACCATATCATCCCAATAGAGCACTTTGGTCTCAGACTGCTCGTTTACTTATGGTTCCTAGGGTACTTGAAAGTAGAATGGGAGGAAGAGCCTTCAGCTTTCAGGCCCCTCTTCCGTGGAACAAGCTCCTATCTTTAAGATTAGGCTTAAAACTTTCCTTTTTGATAAAATATATAGTTAGGGCTGGATCAGGTGACCCTCTCATGATGCACTGAGTGTTTCTTCAGTCACTACGTGTTTATACACCACTGTACATTAAATCATTGGTTATTATTAATCTCTGGCTCTCTTCCACAGCATGTCTTTTGTCCTGTCTCCCTCCCCTTACCCTCAGCCACCCCCAATCTGCCCCCCTCTGAACTTAGTTCTGCTAGAGGTTCCCTCATGTTAAAAGTGTGTGTTTTCCCTCCCATTGTCACCAAGTGCTTGCTCATTGGAGATCATCTGATTTGGGGTTTTTTGCTCTATTATTGTAGAGCCTTTACATTAAAGTCTTGAGGTGAGTGATGCTGTGACTAGGTGCCATATAAATAACAATGAATTGAACTGTCTTTGCCTCCAAAATCCATTGCTCCCCCCCCCGGTCGTCATACTACCACTCTCTATACATGCTCTTTCAAAATTCTCCCAAAAATTTTGATTTAATTGCTTTGAGTGCCACATTTCTCTCTTATAATGCCTGTGGTGACAGCGATGAGAGTCTGTGCACTTGTTTAGTTGTCTCTGAGTGTGACGACTAGCTGTTTAATTTACAGGGTAGAATGTGATCGCTCGGTGTGTCTTTCCTGCAGCAGGTCAGATATCTGCAGCTGTCTGACCGGGCCTGACTCCCTCACAAACAAGTGTCACTCAAAACATAAACTCTCAGCAGCACCGGGGGACGGATCTGCATCGTGTCTTAATCCTTGCTTCTTTCCAGCTAACGTCAGACTCGAACTGATGGTTTATTTTAAGTGAAATAAAATAATATGATAATAAAAAACTTGTCAGACTTACCTGCTTCTTGTTTTCCTCCTCTTGTGCTTGAAGAAATTCTTCCTCGATCTCCTTGAAGAGACCAACCTCTTCGCAGTTCTGCAGAAATCGTGTCGGCGTCGGAGTCTGGTCTAGAGTCATTGCATCCAAAAGGTAACAAAAGAGAGGAAAAAAAAACGGATTTGCTTTTTAAAAAAATTTGAAGCACTTGCCAAAACAGACTGTAGTTTAAGCTTTTTTTGCTTTCTAAATTAACAGTGGTGCAGGTCGTCATGCGAAGAAGAGGAACGAGTCTCCTCTCAGCTGAGCTCTCCGTCTCTGTCTGATAACATCAGTCTGTCTCTCCCTGAGCCGTCTAAACACATAGAGGTCAGAGGTCACATGAGGGTTTTTGTTTTGACAGGGGAGTTCCTGCAGGAGGCGTGACAGGCTGCAGGACGGAGGTGCAGAGGGAGAGTCTGCAGAGGCCAGATCTTGCGCTGGTGTTTACATCCAGACAAATCTTTGGGGAAAACACTGACACCAACAGCCACGTTCGCCTCCAAAATTGTCACAAAAATGAAGCCAAAACATCGCAGCATGGCTTCCATGACTTTTATGATTTCACCTTTCTTGTGTAGCTACACTTTTCTCAGCACCACGGCTTCCACTGGCGATGGAGTAATACTTTGGTTGTATTGCTTTGCATTGATTCCTACACCACCGCAAAAGCCAGCTTACGCTCATATGTTGCTTTAGTCCAGGCTGAAGATGAGGTGGAAATTCTTCTTGTTTTGGCATTGGGGCTCGTACTTACTCATATTTTCTACAAGCAGCCAAGCCACTGCTTCCTGCTCATGGTCAGTATGTATTCACAGAAATGTTAATGTGGAAGCACAATATTTAAAAACTGTGTTTAAATGATCGTCTGGAGGTTGTTTTGACGTTAAAGATACTAATACTACTACTGTAGCCTGAGCAGTTAGTGCATAACACAGAAATGTGAGGCATGCAAAGTTAATTTAGATGCAGAATCAGCATTTTACAGCCGTTCACAATGGGACTAATCTTAATGGGGCATTTGTTTCCCTGGAAATCACTGCAAATGTGTTTGATATAGTCTGAGTGAAATTGTCAACTGTTGTTAGATGCTGACCTTTTTTAAAAAGCAAACCTTTCCTAAATTCTTATTTTTGCCATTGAAACACATGACCGGACACTGAATCTACACACAGACACACAAAACAAGCTAATGAAATTTTCTCTGACTTAGCAGATCTTGAAACAGGAAGAATCCTTATCTTTCCTCTTGTAGAAAAAAACATCCTTAAAAAAATAAGAAGAGGATGATTTTACAATATCAGTGCTTTTAAAACAATCGGAGAAGGTTCAGCAGTCTTGCTGCTATTATCAGTCTGTTGCATAGAACTGAATTAGAAACAATTTTGGAATTTTATTTTCACTCCTCATGAATATTTGTGTTGTAAATACAGAGCACAGTAATGATTAATATACATTTAAATGATGGGTAAATTGTGCTAAATTAAAACCATGAGCTCTAGAAGCAGTGAAATACTGTGTTTTACATGGGCCGTGCAGAGACCGGTGCACCTACTCTCCACGTTTTTAAATCAAAGTGCTGTTATCTGTGTTTTGGCTCTAATCTGACGGAGTATACTGTACATGCTGCAACATGAGACTATTGTCTCATGTTGCATATTGTCTGTCTGAGGGAAGGAAGCTTGCTTTGGTGGGTTATCTGATTTTATACTGTATAGTATATCGTCATCTTTTTAAAAAAAAAAAAAAAAATCAAGCACTGATCTTGAAAAGGAGGAAGTTTCACCACAGACATGTGCAGCCAGGAGATGCAGTCACTGGGAGACTAGGATGAAATCTCAGAGAAGCTCATTTTCTTCCTTACCTGTGAATGCTGCATCTGTCTTTATGGAGGGGAACTTGAGGGTCATCTCATGCTTGTGCCTGTGGATGATCAGATGTTCCTCTAACTGGAAGCGCTGCAGCACACCAACACAGGAAGAGAGATGTGAAGGGATGCGTGCAACTGTGTGACACGCGGGATGATTTTCTCAGTTAAAGCAGCTGATTACCTCTTAATCTGACTAAGACATCATGATGCTCTTAGTCCGTTAAGTATTTTAGATTATTCATCACTTCAAAAACATTTGTATTTATCAGCAACTCCTCCTATATTCTACAGCTTGATCGTTACTCATTTCATTGATGATTAAGTCTGACATCCTGGGTTTTTTTTTTTTGGGGGGGGGTTTTTTTTTAAAAAAGACCATTACAGTCCTTGTAATGCCACACGTACATAGCATTCTACTGACCTGAGAGCAGCCTGGGGCGCCGCACATATATGGCCTGTCCTGTTTGTCATTCATGTCATACACAAGCCTGCAAAGACAGAAGAAGTGAGAAGAATTTATTTACCTGCAGTCTCAGATCACAGCTAAGATGAGCTCACCCAGCAGGCAGCCTGAGGTTCCCTGTTTTATGTTTTGTATTTACACGGATAATTCACATACTGTTCACCTATTATCGTGCCTTTATTGTGGAAGCCGTGTGTAATGAGATAGTTGCCACAGATGATGGATGTTTCTTCCTGAGACACAATATTAAGTTGACGAAAATGATCCCTTTGGTGCCAACGGACGGGGAGTGAGAGCACACACTAGGTATTCATTTTTATTAGGACGAGCCCTATAGCGTACAAACCATGTTTTTTCCAGCCTTTCATTACTCATTAGTAATTACATGTAAACACAAGAAGGGCATCAAAGCCTTCCAGCATTGGGAGCTTTACTTTTCACTTGGAGTGGGGACTAAGTGTAGTGCAATTGTTTTAGGCTACAATTAGGCTTTCATCGGGGTATCAGTTAATAATACTGGTGTGATGAAAGGATAAGTGCTCGCCATGTCTTACATCAAGTCACTAGGATAAAATTATCAACACAAATGCTGATGAGAGTCACAGTAATAAACCAGCTTGCAGTGCCAACCCAGAACCGACCCAGTTGCCTCTGCTGCGAGGATATTAAGCCGCCAATGTGGAGCAATTGTGAATTATTTGAAGACTGCTGTTGAAGCACAAAGTAAGAAGGTCTTCAATTCCTCAGCCAGGTGACAACAGGTGACAAGGGTCAACAAATGTTACCAGTGTTGCTGTGGGAGGAGATGGTGGTTATGAGAAGCATATTCACAGGTTGCACACTCCCCCACCCCTTGTGTACGCGTGAGCCGAGAGCAATGAGAAGACAGCAAAGCACGTGCTGATGTTATGGGAAAGACTGAGAGCTGAAGAGACGAGTCGGGAAAGAGAGGGCAAAAGTGAAGGCATCCATAAGAAGTGGAAAGAAAGTGTGTCTGTGTGTGTGTGTATGTGTGTTTGAGTGAGAGGACGGGTGGGAGGTGGAGAGTGACATTAGGTTGATGGCGAGGAAAATGGAAAGGGCAAGTGGCAGTGATCGAGAGAGGGAGAGGAAAGCAGGAGGAGGAGGACACAATGAATGGAAGAGAGAAGGAATGAGGGTGGGAGCCTGCAAAGGGAGGGCTGCCCTTCAGGCCTACTCCTGACAGGTTTGAACCTGCCTCAGCCCCCATTTTCCAACCCCAGGCAAGTAGAGGTGACTTCATAGGTGTGCGTGTGCTTGTGTGCTTGAAAATAAACCAGTAACTAGGTGATCACAACACCAAAATTCCAGCAAGATCGGAGATTGATCAGAGTATTTAAGGTTTGGATTCTCAGCTAATACAGAAAGCAGGTTTATTAGTAGTTTTATGTATCAGCAGTATGTAACAGCGTGCCACAGTCAGCTGTACTGTGTTTCATAAGCTCACATTTTACAGACAAATGTAAAAATTTAAAGCCCAGCATCCAGTTTGTAACCCCTCTGCCCCCTCTTTCTGCTCTTGTACAAGATTAGCAGACTCAGCACATTTCCAGCAAAACCTTCTGTCAGAGCGGGCACTTCAATGCGCAATGACGTCATCCTTAACGGATGAGCTCAACAACAGACCAGGCAACATACTGTCAGTTTAAGACAGGATTTACATTAACAAAAAAAAAAAGTTTTCCCGCCTCATTTTTTAACTGTCATTGTTCTACACTTACGCTCGGTTACTATGACTCACAGAAAAACACGCACAACTTTTAATATCACCTGTAAGCATCAAAGAAATCATTTTTAAAAAGGTGCCAGGTTTAGTTACTCACTACACTTCTTCAAGTCCCCCGTATCTGATGGATGAATCATGACAGCAGTTTGCATGGAGCTCATTCTGCTCAATTTAAATCGCGGTCCTTAACCAAAAAGTCCTCCGGACGGTCACTGCCTGCGTCTCAAGAACATGACCGGTATTTGTGTGTGTGTGTGTGTGTGTGTGTGTGTGTGTGTGTGTGTGTGTGTGTGAGTTGTCTTTTCCTCCTACCGCTCCGTAAAGGAACCTGTTCAACTCATAAACAAGCCCGGCACAGCTGTACAGAGAGTGCTGTCACACCCCCCAAATAGACAGGAGCGCTCAACCTTTCCGCTGGGTGATGAGACTTCACCGGGACACCTCGCTAAAAAGTTCCGGCGTCAACTTTTCTTTCCTTTTTCTTTTTAAACCGTCAAAATAATTTTTTTTTAAATAAAATAAAAATAATAAAGGCACAGTATCGGGAGAGCGGTTGCCGCGGAGCTAAAAAGTTTTGTGAATGGAAGTAAAAGACTTACCTACAAGTAGAGAGTAGACGAGCGGCGCTCCAGAGAGGAACCACGTTGGACTGGAGCGAGATTACAATACGTTCTATTTACAGAAGCATTACATCACCCTCCCGGTGACGTCACGTGGGATTCCTGAACTTCTAAATCATTGCGGTCCCGTACGGAGAGAGGGCTTGAGAGGGGCGGGGTTACGACACGGCGAGGGGGACGGGACGGAACAGCAGCAACAGCAGCAGCGTGGTGCTGGACCGGAGTCAGTGACAGACCCACCGGGTAGACACACCAACGGCAACGTGACGGGACACGGGGCAGACCGGGTGGGCGGATGAGACCCAGTTAAGTGTTTGTTTTTTTTTATTTTTTATCCTGTCCCCACTTTTGGTGTGTGTCTGAAACGGGACGTTCCAGCGTCTGTATCGAGTTTACGTGTCCAAATGAGCGAGAGCCTCCGGGTCTTTTTCTTCTTCTCAGAACTTTTGACAGTCAGCGGTATGAGACTATTTGCTTGAAAATAAAGCTAAACCCTGAAGTGATTTCAACGAAACGTTAAGTACATCCTGTCAAATACAAATGATACATTGAACATGTTAAAAAATAAGAAATAAAAAAATAATAATAATAATAAAAATAATATAAAATAAATAAAAAAATATTTAAAAAAATAAAAAGTAAGATGATTATTAAAATGACATTTAAAATAATAAAATTAGCACAAATAGCAAAAACAATAATAAAATAGTATAGAAATGATGATGAGAATGACATTTAAAACAATAAAATCAGCATATTAGATTAAAACAATAAAATCAGGGTCAGACTGTGTCATAAGCCAAGGAGTAAAATGGGTTTTAAGATGAGTTTTAAAAGTGGACAGTGAAGGGGCCTCTCTAATGTGCTGGGAAAGATTGTTCCACAGATTAGGAGCAGCAATAGAAAAGGCCCTGTCCCCTCGGAGCTTTCTCTTGAACCTGGGTACCTCCAGGAGCAGCTTGTCAGCTGACCTGAGAGACCTGGGGGGTGAGTAAGGATGCAGAAGCTCAGAGAGGTAAGTTGGGGCAAGACCGTTTAAACATTTAAAAACAAACATGAGAATTTTAAAATGAACTCTAAGATATACAGGCAGCCAATGGAGTGTAGCCAGGATGGGAGCTATGTGCTCTCTTTTACGAGTTCTGGTTAAACGTTGTGCAGCAGCATTTTGGACCAGCTGCAGACGAGAGAGAAGATGCTGACTAACTCCAAAATACAGTGCATTACAGTAATCTAAACGAGATGAAATAAAAGCATGGATTACCGTTTCAAGATGCGACCTGGATAAAATAGGTCTTATCTTTGCCAAGCGCCTTAAATGATAAAAACTGGACTTGACAGTAGCCCTAATTTGACTGTCTAATTTAAAATCACTGTCCATCTTAAAACCCAGGTTTGTAACGACAGATTTAAAATACTCTGCCAGGGTTCCCAAATCAATAGCATAGGGTTCACAAGGTCCACTAGGACCAAACAGAATCACCTCAGTTTTGCTTGAATTACATCTTAGAAAGTTTAGGGACATCCAAGATTTAATGTCTTCTAGACATGCTAGAAGTGGCTTAATAGAGAAGGCCTCTTTCTGCTTCAGAGGCAGATAAATCTGACAGTCGTCAGCATAGCAGTGGAAGGATATACCATGCCTTCTGAGGATGGTTCCCAGGGGCTGTAAATATAATGAAAAAAGCAAAGGCCCTAAAATTGAGCCCTGCGGGACCCCAGACTGAAAAGTGGCAGAGGAAGACTCATATCCTAAAGAGTTAACACTAAAAGTTCTGTCGCAAAGATAAGACCTAAACCAGCTGCTTTATTCACAAGGGATTGTCACAGCGGGTAGCCCCCCATGTTTGATTTGGCACAGCTTTTACGCCGGATGCCCCCTCTGACCCAAAGCCATAAGGATTTGTGGTCCCTCCTGGGATTCTTTTGTTTGAAAGGTGAATGTGCAAACCAGTTATACTTTAAAAAAAAAATAAAACAATAATACGCATTATTTTTAAAATACGACAGCTTAAGACATGGTAATAAACTTCTAGAAGTAGTTGAGCACTTTCATTTTGAAAATGTGAGAGTTTAAAAAACCTGTCCAGGTCATACATCTGGTATACATAGACGTACAGATATTATTATTATTATTATTACTATTACATAATAATAATAAAACAAGAAATAAAATGTGACAATAAAGACAATATTACAGAGAAAACCCCAACAAACTAATAATGTAATAATAATCCATTATGAGGACTTGGAGACAGTGGGAACGAAGAACCATCTTTAAACAGAAAGTGATTGTAAATTGATTTATATAGCATGAGACCTCGAATTCTTTTTGAAGGTCATTCTGCTGACCTAAATATCACTAAAGCTAATGGCTTTATTTAGGTCTGAGGTTTAAAGTGAACGTTCAAACTGTATAACGCAAATTAAACATAAGCAACAATCAAATTGAACTCGTTTGTAAAGCATATGTAAAGGTGTGTCCCTTACACCAATGACCTAATTAAAACAAAAGTAAAATAATAAACTTGAGAAAATAATAAACAAAAGCAACAGAAATATAAATGTAAATTTAAGATTTAAAGCACGTTGAGTTACTTATTATTGCCTCTAAAACACTGCTATAGATAACGTTTAATGTTAGCATCACCTACTGCA